CTCCTCCTCCTCCTCCTCACAGCCACTTCTCTTTGTATTTATTTATTATTCATGTAGAAATGGGCTGAACCATTGATACTCTGACAGCTGAATGAAATTGAGTCTTTTTTTATTCGTATATATTAGTGATCTCAGATTGTGTGTTTGGAATAACGGTGCACTGACATTTTGTTTTGTCTCTATTCCAGTTTCTCTCAATGAAACACATTTAGGGTGCAAAGTATTTATTATAACATSTTTAGGGTTTAGCACAGACAAAAAGTAACGGATGACCTGTGCCATTCATCACCACCTATTTGCAAAATTCCCTAGAAGACCTGCAGAAATGTGGTCATTTTAAACCAGCTGTTGTAGCAGACAGACATGAACACACGGGGGCGCTGTTTCACAACGCTCAATGAAACACTGGAGCTTTCAGGGGGGCTAGAAAAGATTTGTGTTATTGAACTAGAAATTAGGAAGGTAAATATGAGACGGAAAACAAACAAATGTTTTAGAACATTTTCACTTGGCCTCTGATGGACCACAGCAGACATTAGTCATCACTCTAATAAATGTAATAAGATGGCACACAGAGACAATTCCTCTTTTTTTTGTCTGCCCCTATCTCCCCCCGCCTCCCATCTGTGTGTTACTTTGAATTTGTGGTTGTTAGTTTTGTTAACGACCAATACACACACATACACACAGATTGAGAGAGAACTCTCTGGACTCTCGACAACATTATCTTTTCCGGAAATTGCTTCTTGAGCACAGCCAGAGCCCCATTAGAAAAGAGGAGCTCTATGCTGTAACCTTTTTAAAAAGCCATTAGTGATGCACCTGCCTCTCCCTGTCTCTCCGTTCCTATTTGTGTGTCCTATTTGTCTCTCTTGTTAACACTGACACACACTCGCACACACTTAGGTTTTTTTTTTCTTCCATCCTGATTGCCAGCATCCTCGTTCCCAGACCCATAAACAAACTGCTGAGCCAAATGAACACATTTCCACTCCAATTAGAGTATAAATCTTTCACATCTTCGGGTTCCACCTCAGAGTGCAAACCACTTCACTTCATTATTTACGTGTGTTATTCTAATGAGTCGTGGCTGTGAAGTCAGGTGTCTGGCACAAAAAATTAAAAAAATAAAACAATTCTTTGATTTCAAGCTTAAGAAAACAAGATGTTTTAAAATATGTCGTGTCATCGAGCAGGCTGAGTTCACTCCATCGTAACACAAAGAACTAATCTGGGAGATTGATTTAGCATTGACCAGAGGCTGTAAGCTTTAAATCAAATCAATCCATAAGATGTCATGTAATATGCATGCATGACGTGAAAAGCTGCCACACTGTTCATCAGTTAATCAGGTTATGATATTTATKCCCCAACACAAATTACATTCCCAGTTTCAAAAAAAGCTGGAACTGTTTGTAAAATGCAAATAAAAACAAATGTATTGACTCGCAAACTCCACAAATCTATATTTTATTCAARATGGAACTCAAACGTGTTTAATTTGTGAAATTAAATCATTTTAACTTGGCATGGTAGCAACACATCTCCAGAGTTGTAAAGCAACTAAGTACAAATACTTCTTTTCTGTACTTAAGTAGAATTTTTGGGTATCTGTACTTTACTTGAGTAATTATTTTTCAGCCTACTTTTTACTTTTACTTCTTACATTTTCACACAATTATCTGTAGAAAGTCATTACTTTGACTTAATTTTTGCTTGTTTTCCTTCCAGCTTGTTATTGTAAAAAATAAATACTATCCATACAAATTTTGCCTCCTAGAT